GTGTGTGTGAGAGTGTGTGCGAGTGTGAGAGTGTGTGTGAGAGTGTGTGCGAGTGTGAGAGTGTGTGTGTGTGTGTGTGAGTGTGAGAGTGTGTGTGAGAGTGTGTGTGTGTGTGTGCGAGTGCGAGTGTGAGTGTGTGTGAGTGTGAGAGTGTGTGCGAGTGTGAGTGTGAGTGTGTGCGAGTGTGAGAGTGTGCGTGTGAACCAAGTGATAGGTTTCATCGCAATGCCTGGCACACAGCAGACTTTTGATAAATGGCAGTGTCTTTCTTTCCAAACCTAGAAAGGGGGGCCAGAGACTTTTGCTGATGGCCTGGAAGACAGCAACCTCAGAGTTGTTCCAATAGCCACCTAGGCCTGGAAGGCGGGACGAGAGGCGGCTCAGCAGAAGCCTCCTTGGGCCCTGGGCGGAAAGTCTTCCTCCCGCGAAGGCCCGCGCCTGCCTGCCTTCCCTGGTCTGCCCCGCAGTTCCGTCCGCTTCCCGTAATGCAAAAAGAATTAAGCTTAGATCCACCCCACCTTCAACACAGACGTCCCCAAGCAAATGAATGCTTCGCCACCTCACGCCACCCCAACCACTCTTAGAAATTAAAAAACATTTCTGCTAACAGAAAAGAGATAACACTCCCAGGTCAACAATTCTGGCCAAAAGATAGCCTTGTGTGTCGTTTGCCGGTAAACAATTAACACCCACAGCTGGGCTGTCACAGCAGCGAAAGGAGCACAGCTGGCAGCAGACCTCCGTGTGTGTCTGAAGTGCTGGCGCTGGCGAGTCCCAGCTGCCGTCCCTGAGGGCAGCCCCCTCTGTCCTCTGCCAGGCGTGGAGGGCTTCATCTGTGCAGAGGACCTGTGCCTGAACTACCCACCCGGCTTCCGCGGTTTACACTCCCTGTTCACAGTGTGGCCCTGCCCCAGCATTGTGGGTGGCACCTGGCAGCTTGTTAGAAATCTGGAGTCTTGGGTCCCACCCCAGGCGGACTGAATCAGAATTTGCATTTCAGCAAGATGCCCAGGGGACTCATGTGCCCATTAAGGTTTGCAGCACTGCCTGTGTTATCTCTCATCTTCCCAAGCACACAGGGCCCCCTCTCCCCTCCGGGTGCGAGAACGTTCTGTTGTGTTTCAGTCCCTACTTGCCGTCTGTGACCAGAGGAGGCGCCCCACTCCCCCCATCCCCACCTGCTTTTATGTGCCAGACCCTCCCTTGCTTCCCGGAGTGCTGGCTTTTGCTCATGCTCCCTCCAAGTCCCACATAACGGTTTGCTTCCTCTCTTCCCCTTT